CATGGAGTGGTCGTGCAACATCAGTTTTCACAACTTCTTGCGATTGCGCCCCTGCGAATTCCAAAGGGAACTGGCGGCTGGTCAACATGGCCATCATCCCGCCGAACAGGTCCCTCGCGCCAAGCGTCGAAATCATTCGAGCGCCATTGCGCGCGTGCTGGTGGGGGGGGGAAGAGCGCCATCCGTGTCAAAATGCCACGCTGGCCGCTCTCGCGCGTCGGCCGCGCGCGCGTGTCGAACCCTCTCCAAAAGCTGCATCAGCAACGCGAGGGCGCCGCCATCGTCGCCGGCGTGATCGGCCTCGGCGCCGTCGCTGGCTTTGCCGTCGTCGTGGTCATCATCGCCACCAGCGTCGCGACTGTCATCGCCACGTCTACCTTTATCGACGTTGCCGCGTCACCGCGCCCGCCCAAGTCGTCGCGACTCGCATCGAAATGCCCGCTGGGAAGTGCCCAACGGCCAGCGCCACCGCGGCCGCGTCGGCAGCGCCGAACCATCTGGCCGCTGCGCGCGCGAGAATGCGCGGGCTAGCACGGCCGCAGAGATGCAGAAGCCATATTCAAGTACTCATCGCAATCGCCGCCGCATTGGTTTTGCAAGCCACGTTGCGGGTGGGTGGGTCGGATGAGTGCGCGAGCAATGGAGCGGGTGGCTCATTGCGAACAGAATTCCATTCTCTAAGAGAACATTCGGGTCTACCCCCCTCCGAATTCACGACGCCCCCTCGTGCTGATTGTGCCCCGTCGCCCATTTTAAATTTGAATTCATACCACCCGGGCCGAGTCGGTGTCGACCCCCCCCCCCCCCTGCCATCCTCCGCATCAAATGTTACGCTTGCGCTCTCATTGCTAGAAAATCAACAATTTTGAAGTATCCCTCGAAGTGCACGCGCGCGCGTTGTCGCGCGCGCGTGCCGACCTCTTTCAAACATTTCTAGGTTTGGCACGGATTCCCAAATCGACAGCCACGAAAGAATAACGCATGACAATAATGGTTGTGCAAGTAGAATGTGCCACCAAAGGGTTTACCAAACATATGTTGGGGTCGCGCCCTTGCGAATTCTTCAAGGAACCAGGGTTTGCTTCAACAGTTTGAGACGCTGCGTCCAATTTGGCCTCTCGCGCGCGCGCGCGTGCATCTAAATTGTTAGGACACCCTTGCGCGCCTGCTGTCGCAAGAACCCCCTGCGCGAAAATGAGACGAATTGCATGGGCGCGCGTTGTCGCGCGCGCGCCGCAATCCTTGACGAAACTCGTTTGGTTTCGCACGGGTTTCAAAAACCGAGCGCCCCGAAACCATCTGAAAACACACGGTTTCGAAACATCCGGTTTCAAGAAAATTGCGCCTGCACCCCACGCAGATTCTTAGGACAACCATCGGCTTTCCAATGTTTTCGCCAAATTCTGCCAAACGGGTTTTTTTCGCGCCGCGTGTCGAACGCACTCGAACGCCCTTGGGCGCGTGCGTGAGGTGGGCACGATCCGTGCCAAATCCTACCACGCGGGCCAATCGCGCGCGTCGGCCGCGCGCGCGTGTCGAACTCCTTTAACAGCCTTCGTCGCCGACGCGAAGACACCGTCAACGTCATCTGCGGGCGTGATCAACATCCGCGCCTTCATTGGCCGTGCCGTCCTCATCGCCACCTTCGTCACCATCGCTACTCTCAGGAACGCGTCTACCATTGTTGGCGTCGCCATCACACCGCGTCCGCCCATTCACCGACTCGCATTGAAGTGCCCGTTGGGAAGTGCCCAGCGGCCAGCGCCACCGCGGCCGCGTCGGCAGCGCCAAACCATCTGGCCGCTGCGCGCGCCAGAATGTGCGGGCTAGCGCGGCCGCAGAGATGCGCCAGCCATGTCCAAGTACTCATCGCAATCGCCGCCGCATGGGCTTTGCAAGCCAAGTTGCGGGTTGGTGGGTCGGATGAGTGCGCGAGCAATGGGGTGGGCAGCTCATTGCGAGCAGACGTTCGTTTCCCGTTCTAAGAGAGCATTCGGATCTACCCCCCCCCCCCCCCCGAATTCACGACGCCCCCTCGTGCTGCATAATTTGCGTGCGATTGTGCCCCGTCGCCCATTTTAAATTTGAATTCATACCACCCGGGCCGAGTCGGTGTCGACCCCCCCCTGCCATCCTCCGCATCAAATATTATGCTCGCGCTCTCGTTTATAGAGAATCAGCAGTCTTGAAGAGTCCCTTGCGACAAAGTAAGGCGAAGTGCGCGCGCGCGTTGTCGCGCGCGCGTGCCGACATCTTTCAAACACCTTACGTTGCGCGCTGCTTTCAAAATCGAGCTCTCCTGTGCAAGTAACATGGTTTACCAAACATGTTTTGCGCTCGCGCTTTTGCGAATTCTTCAGACAACCAGTGGTTGCTTCACCAGTTTGATACACTGTTTCCAATATTGCCTCTCGCGCGCGCGCGTGTATCTACATTGTTAGGGCGCCCGTCCGCGCGTGCCGTCGCAGGAACCCTTTGCCCCAAAATGAGACGAAGTGCATGGGCGCGCGTCGTCGCGCGCGCATGCTGCAATCCTTGACAACATTTTTTCTGGTTTCGCACGGATTTCAAAAATCGAGCGCCCCGAAACAATATGAAAACACCGGGTTTTGAAACATCCGTTTTCCCCCAAAAAAAAAAACATAACGCTTGCGCCCCATGCGGATTCTTAAGAAAACCATCGGTTTTCAAATGTTTTCGCCAAATTCTGCCAAACGGGCATTTCGCGCCGCGTGTCGAACTCTTTCGTACGCCCTTGGGCGCGTGCGTGGGGTGGTCACGATCCGTTCAAAATCCTACCACACGGGCCAATCGCGTGCGTCGGCCGCGCGCGCGTGTAGAACTCTTTCAACAGCCTTCGTCGCCGACGCGAAGACACCGTCATCGTCATCGGTGGGCGTGATCAACATCCGCGTCGTCATTGGCCTTGCCGTCCTCACCGCCACTTTCGTCACCATCGCTACTCTCATGATCGTGTCTACCATTGTCGACGTCGTCATGATACCGCGCCCGCCCATTCACCGACTCGAATTGAAGTGCCCGTTGGGAAGTGCTCAGCGGCCAGCGCCACCGCGGCCGCGTCGGCAGCGCCAAACCATCTGGCCGCTGCGCGCGCGAGAATGTGCGGGTTTGCAGGTGGGTGGGTCGGATGCTTACAAGAGCGTAGAATGTAGGTAGCAGTTCGTTTGTAAAAGTCAATTGCGCCACCTAGGTTGCACCACGTTTCATGCTGGACCGCACCGTTCGGGGCCCACTCGTGCCCACATTTTGCTCCAGAGGCCCTCGCCGGGCCCCAGGACCGTCAAACAACAATGCAGGATGGGTCGAAACGTCTGGGTGTCCACATTGTGCGAAAAATTGTCAAAATGTTGGTCTGTTGAGTCAATTTCCCTTGGCAAGGGCCATGTGAGACTGAAGGGCTTCGTGTGCGTAGCAGGGGGCATCCATGTGGTCGACTCCACGGCGCGGCTCGCGAGGTTCTCACGTTTTTTTTGAGCGCCAGTAGATGTCCACATGCACAAAGCTTTGGTTTGTGAGTCATTTTCCATGGCGCTGTTCTGGGGAATTTGTTATTCGCACTTTGAGTTATACCTGGAGTAGAAGCTATGAGCACTCCACGCAGAACCCCCTCACCCGAATGTGCCGCGAGCGTGTTTCGCGTCAGAAATCCCCCTTTGCCCTTCTGCGATGCAGAGCAGTCGATTCTTGCTGCCAGGATCTCGATTCTGCTGCGCCCCCGAGGCTGATTCGCAGGACAGGGTCTCTGAGCGCGTTGCTGCGCAGGAGGCCAGGTTGGCGCCCCTCCAGCGAGCACGCGCGGAGCCCGCGGAGAGTCAGCAGCCATCGCAGGAGGCGGAGGGCTGCACGCGCCAGCCGCAGGACTGCCCCGCCGAGAGGCCTTACCAGCGAGAGGACGGCCCAGACGGCGAGCAAGGACAAAGCAGCGGGGAAGGCGGGCGAAGCGAGCTGCCGGCGGAGCCCCCGATGGGCCAGCAGGCGCCACGGGAGCCGGAGTGTTCGAGGCAACAGCAGCAGGTAAACCTCTCCGAGCGGGTGGCTGAGCCGGAGGCCGCGCTGGGCTCCCTCCGGCGAGCCCCCGCGCAGCCCGCGAGGCTGGCGCCGAAGGCGGCCCTCGAACGGGCCCAGAAGGCCCGGCAGAGGGCCCTGCTGGACTCCGAGCAGGGGCGAACCCTCGAGGAGGACGCGCAAAGCGAAGAGGATGCGGAAGACTCGGATCGGCAGGCGGACGAGCTGGAGACGCTCGGTGGCGCCCCGCCTTCGCCGCAGATGGGCGCCTCTGATCGAGTCGCTGGGCCTGAGGCTGCCCCGGACTCCTTTCAGCGTGCTGGCGCGGGGCCCGCGCGAAGCGAGCAGACCTCGTGGGATATGGAGGCTTCGAGCCAGCAGCTGCAGGAGATGGCCGTGGCCGGCTCTCGGCCCTCACCGCAGGCCAGGCTCGCCGAGCGGGTGGCTGAGCTGGAGGCCGCGCCAGACTCCCTCTGGCGAGCCCCCGCGGAGCCCGCGAGGCTGACGCCGAAGGCGTTCCTCGAACGGGCCCAGAAGGCCCGGCAGAGGGCCCTGCTGGACTCTGAGCAGGGGCGAACCCTCGAGGAGGACGCGCAGAGCGAGCAGCTGCTAGAGGATGCGGAAGACTCGGATCGGCAGGCGGACGAGCTGGATGTGCTCGGTGGCGCCCCGCCTTCCCCGCAGACGGGCGCCTCTGATCGAGTCGCTGGGCCTGAGGCTGCCCCGGACTCCTTTCAGCGTGCTGGCGCGGAGCCCGCGCGAAGTGAGCTGACCTCGCGGGAGGCGACGGCTTCGAGGCAGCAGCTGCAGGAGATGGCCGTGGCTGGCTCTCGGCCCTCACCGCAGGCCAGGCTCGCCGAGCGGGTGTCTGAGCTGGAGGCCGCGCTGAGTTCTCTTCAGCGAGGCGGCGTGGAGCCCGCCAGAAGCCAGCAGTCTGACGTGGAGGCGCAGGGCTCGAGGCAGCAGCTGCAGGAGATGGAGTCGTCGGGCGGCCTCCCGCCTTCGCCGCGCGGCAGCGTCTCTGAGCGGGCCGTTGGGTCTGAGGCTGCGGTGAGCTCCGTTCAGCCAGCCGGGGCGGTGCCGGAGGGCTCGAGGCAGCAGGTGCAGGATACGGATGCCATGGCCAGCTCTCGGCCCTCAACGCAGGCCAAGCTGATCTTTGAGCGGGTCGCTGAGCTGGAGGCTGCGCTGAGTTCTCTTCAGCGAGGCGGCGTGGAGCCCGCCAGAAGCGCCAGAAGCCAGCAGTCTGACGTGGAGGCGCAGGGCTCGCGGCAGCAGCTGCAAGAGATGGAGTTGTCGGGCGGCCTCCCGCCTTCGCCGCGCGGCAGCGTCTCTGAGCGGGCCGTTGGGTCTGAGGCTGCGGTGGGCTCCGTTCAGCCAGCCGGGGCGGTGCCGGAGGGCTCGAGGCAGCAGGTGCAGGAGAAGGATGCCATGGCCGGCTCTCGGCCCTCAACGCAGGCCAAGCTGATCTTTGAGCGGGTCGCTGAGTTGGAGGCTGCGCTGAGTTCTCTTCAGCGAGGCGGCGTGGAGCCCGCCAGAAGCGCCAGAAGCCAGCAGCCTGACGTGGAGGCGGAGGGCTCGCGGCAACAGCTGCAGGAGATGGAGTCGTCGGGCAGCCTCCCGCCTTCGCCGCGCGGCAGCGTCTCTGAGCGGGCCGTTGGGTCTGAGGCTGCGGTGGGCTCCGTTCTGCCAGCCGGGGCGGTGCCGGAGGGCTCGAGGCAGCCGGTGCAGGAGACGGATGCCGCGGCCGGCTCTCGGCCCACATTGCAGGCCAAGCTCTCAGAGCCAGTCGCTGAGATGGAGGCCGCGCTGAGCTCTCTTCAGCGAGGCTGCGTGCCCGCGAGAAGCCAGCAGCCTGACGTGGAAGCGGAGGGCTCGAGGCAGCAGCTGCAGGAGATGGCCGTGGCCGGCTCTCGGCCCTCACCGCAGGCCAGGTTCGCCGTGCGGGTGGCTGAGCTGGAGGCCGCGCCGGACTCCCTCCGGCGAGCCCCCGCGGAGCCCGCGAGGCTGGCGCCGAAGGCGGCCCTCGAACGGGCCCAGAAGGCCCGGCAGAGGGCCCTGCTGGACTCCGAGCAGGGGCGAACCCTCGAGGAGGACGCGCAGAGCGAGGAGGATGCGGAGGGCTCGCATCGGCAGGCGGACGAGCTGGAGGCGCTCGGTGGCGCCCCTCCTTCCCCGCAGACGGGCGCCTCTGATCGAGTCGCTGGGCCTGAGGCTGCCCCGGACTCCTTTCAGCGTGCTGGCGCGGAGCCCGCGCGAAGTGAGCAGACCTCGCGGGAGGCGACGGCTTCGAGGCAGCAGCTGCAGGAGATGGCCGTGGCTGGCTCTCGGCCCTCACCGCAGGCCAGGCTCGCCGAGCGGGTGTCTGAGCTGGAGGCCGCGCTGAGTTCTCTTCAGCGAGGCGGCGTGGAGCCCGCCAGAAGCCAGCAGTCCGACGTGGAGGCGGAGGGCTCGAGGCAGCAGCTGCAGGAGATGGAGTCGTCGGGCGGCCTCCCACCTTCGCCGCGCGGCAGCGTCTCTGAGCGGGCCGTTGGGTCTGAGGCTGCGGTGGGCTCCGTTCAGCCAGCCGGGGCGGTGCCGGAGGGCTCGAGCCAGCAGGTGCAGGAGACGGATGCCGTGGCCAGCTCTCGGCCCTCTCTGCAGGCCAAGCTGATCTTTGAGCGGGTCGCTGAGCTGGAGGCCGCGCTGAGCTCTTTCCAGCGAGGCTGCGTGGAGCCCGCCAGAAGCGCCAGAAGCCAGCAGCCTGACGTGGAGGCGGAGGGCTCGCGGCAGCAGCTGCAGGAGATGGAGTCGTCGGGCAGCCTCCCGCCTTCGCCGCGCGGCAGCGTCTCTGAGCGGGCCGTTGGGTCTGAGGCTGCGGTGGGCTCCGTTCTGCCAGCCGGGGCGGTGCCGGAGGGCTCGAGGCAGCCGGTGCAGGAGACGGATGCCGCGGCCGGCTCTCGGCCCACATTGCAGGCCAAGCTCTCAGAGCGAGTCGCTGAGATGGAGGCCGCGCTGAGCTCTCTTCAGCGAGGCTGCGTGCCCGCGAGAAGCCAGCAGCCTGACGTGGAGGCGGAGGGCTCGAGGCAGCAGCTGCAGGAGATGGCCGTGGCCGGCTCTCGGCCCTCACCGCAGGCCAGGTTCGCCGTGCGGGTGGCTGAGCTGGAGGCCGCGCCGGACTCCCTCCGGCGAGCCCCCGCGGAGCCCGCGAGGCTGGCGCCGAAGGCGGCCCTCGAACGGGCCCAGAAGGCCCGGCAGAGGGCCCTGCTGGACTCCGAGCAGGGGCGAACCCTCGAGGAGGACGCGCAGAGCGAGGAGGATGCGGAGGGCTCAGATCGGCAGGCGGACGAGCTGGAGGCGCTCGGTGGCGCCCCTCCCTCCCCGCAGACGGGCGCCTCTGATCGAGTCGCTGGGCCTGAGGCTGCCCCAGACTCCTTTCAGCGTGCTGGCGCGGAGCCCGCGCGAAGTGAGCAGACCTCGCGGGAGGCGACGGCTTCGAGGCAGCAGCTGCAGGAGATGGCCGTGGCTGGCTCTCGGCCCTCACCGCAGGCCAGGCTCGCCGAGCGGGTGTCTGAGCTGGAGGCCGCGCTGAGTTCTCTTCAGCGAGGCGGCGTGGAGCCCGCCAGAAGCCAGCAGTCCGACGTGGAGGCGGAGGGCTCGAGGCAGCAGCTGCAGGAGATGGAGTCGTCGGGCGGCCTCCCGCCTTCGCCGCGCGGCAGCGTCTCTGAGCGGGCCGTTGGGTCTGAGGCTGCGGTGGGCTCCGTTCAGCCAGCCGGGGCGGTGCCAGAGGGCTCGAGCCAGCAGGTGCAGGAGACGGATGCCGTGGCCAGCTCTCGGCCCTCTCTGCAGGCCAAGCTCTCAGAGCGGGTCGCTGAGCTGGAGGCCGCGTTGAGCTCTCTTCAGCGAGGCTGCGTGGAGCCCGCGAGAAGCCAGCAGTCTGACGTGGAGGTGGAGGGCTCGCGGCAACAGCTGCAGGAGATGGAGTCGTCGGGCAGCCTCCCGCCTTCGCCGCGCGGCAGCGTCTCTGAGCTGGCCGTTGGGTCTGAGGCTGCGGTGGGCTCCGTTCTGCCAGCTGGGGCGGTACCGGAGGGTTCGAGGAAGCAGGTGCAGGAGACGGATGCCGCGGCCGGCTCTCGGCCCACATTGCAGGCCAAGCTCTCAGAGCGGGTCGCTGAGAGGGAGGCCGCGCTGAGCTCTCTTCAGCGAGACTGCGTGCCCGCGAAAAGCCAGCAGCCTGACGTGGAGGCGGAGGGCTCGAGGCAGCAGCTGCAGGAGATTGCCGTGGCCGGCTCTCGGCCCTCACCGCAGGCCAGGTTCGCCGTGCGGGTGGCTGAGCTGGAGGCCGCGCCGGACTCCCTCCGGCGAGCCCCCGCGGAGCCCGCGAGGCTGGCGCCGAAGGCGGCCCTCGAACGGGCCCAGAAGGCCCGGCAGAGGGCCCTGCTGGACTCCGAGCAGGGGCGAACCCTCGAGGAGGACGCGCAGAGCGAGGAGGATGCGGAGGGCTCGCATCGGCAGGCGGACGAGCTGGAGGCGCTCGGTGGCGCCCCTCCTTCCCCGCAGACGGGCGCCTCTGATCGAGTCGCTGGGCCTGAGGCTGCCCCAGACTCCTTTCAGCGTGCTGGCGCGGAGCCCGCGCGAAGTGAGCAGACCTCGCGGGAGGCGACGGCTTCGAGGCAGCAGCTGCAGGAGATGGCCGTGGCTGGCTCTCGGCCCTCACCGCAGGCCAGGCTCGCCGAGCGGGTGTCTGAGCTGGAGGCCGCGCTGAGTTCTCTTCAGCGAGGCGGCGTGCAGCCCGCCAGAAGCCAGCAGTCCGACGTGGAGGCGGAGGGCTCGAGGCAGCAGCTGCAGGAGATGGAGTCGTCGGGCAGCCTCCCGCCTTCGCCGCGCGGCAGCGTCTCTGAGCGGGCCGTTCGGTCTGAGGCTGCGGTGGGCTCCGTTCAGCCAGCCGGGGCGGTGCCAGAGGGCTCAAGCCAGCAGGTGCAGGAGACGGATGCCGTGGCCAGCTCTCGGCCCTCTCTGCAGGCCAAGCTCTCAGAGCGGGTCGCTGAGCTGGAGGCCGCGTTGAGCTCTTTCCAGCGAGGCTGCGTGGAGCCCGCCAGAAGCGCCAGAAGCCAGCAGCCTGACGTGGAGGCGGAGGGCTCGCGGCAGCAGCTGCAGGAGATGGAGTCGTCGGGCAGCCTCCCGCCTTCGCCGCGCGGCAGCGTCTCTGAGCGGGCCGTTGGGTCTGAGGCTGCGGTGGGCTCCGTTCTGCCAGCCGGGGCGGTGCCGGAGGGCTCGAGGCAGCCGGTGCAGGAGACGGATGCCGCGGCCGGCTCTCGGCCCACATTGCAGGCCAAGCTCTCAGAGCGAGTCGCTGAGATGGAGGCCGCGCTGAGCTCTCTTCAGCGAGGCTGCGTGCCCGCGAGAAGCCAGCAGCCTGACGTGGAGGCGGAGGGCTCGAGGCAGCAGCTGCAGGAGATGGCCGTGGCCGGCTCTCGGCCCTCACCGCAGGCCAGGTTCGCCGTGCGGGTGGCTGAGCTGGAGGCCGCGCCGGACTCCCTCCGGCGAGCCCCCGCGGAGCCCGCGAGGCTGGCGCCGAAGGCGGCCCTCGAACGGGCCCAGAAGGCTCGGCAGAGGGCCCTGCTGGACTCCGAGCAGGGGCGAACCCTCGAGGAGGACGCGCAGAGCGAGGAGGATGCGGAGGGCTCGGATCGGCAGGCGGACGAGCTGGAGGCGCTCGGTGGCGCCCCGCCTTCCCCGCAGACGGGCGCCTCTGATCGAGTCGCTGGGCCTGAGGCTGCCCCGGACTCCTTTCAGCGTGCTGGCGCGGAGCCCGCGCGAAGTGAGCAGACCTCGCGGGAGGCGACGGCTTCGAGGCAGCAGCTGCAGGAGATGGCCGTGGCTGGCTCTCGGCCCTCACCGCAGGCCAGGCTCTTTGAGCGGGTGGCTGAGCTGGAGGCCGCGCTGAGTTCTCTTCAGCGAGGCGGCGTGGAGCCCGCCAGAAGCCAGCAGTCTGACGTGGAGGCGGAGGGCTCGCGGCAGCAGCTGCAGGAGATGGAGTCGTCGGGCGGCCTCCCGCCTTCGCCGCGCGGCAGCGTCTCCGAGCGGGCCGTTGGGTCTGAGGCTGCGGTGGGCTCCGTTCAGCCAGCCGGGGCGGTGCCGGAGGGCTCGAGGCAGCCGGTGCAGGAGACGGATGACGTGGCCGGCTCTCGGCCCTCACTGCAGGCCAAGCTCTCAGAGCGGGTCGCTGAGCTGGAGGCCGCGCTGAGCTCTCTTCAGCGAGGCGGCGTGGAGCCCGCCAGAAGCCAGCAGCCTGACGTGGAGGTGGAGGGCTCGCGGCAGCAGCTGCAGGAGATGGAGTCGTCGGGCGGCCTCCCGCCTTCGCCGCGCGGCAGCGTCTCTGAGCGGGCCGTTGGGTCTGAGGCTGCAGTGGGCCCCGTTCAGCCAGCCGGGGCGGTGCCGGATGGCTCGAGGCAACAGGTGCAGGAGACGGCCGTGGCCGGCTCTCGGCCCTCACCGCAGGCCAGGTTCGCCGTGCGGGTGGCTGAGCTGGAGGCCGCGCCGGACTCCCTCTGGCCCGCGGAGCCCGCGAGGCTGGCGCCGAAGGCGGCCCTCGAACGGGCCCAGAAGGCCCGGCAGAGGGCCCTGCTGGACTCCGAGCAGGGGCGAACCCTCGAGAAGGACGCGCAGAGCGAGGAGGATGCGGAGGGCTCGGATCGGCAGGCGGACGAGCTGGAGGCGCTCGGTGGCGCCCCGCCTTCCCCGCAGACGGGCGCCTCTGATCGAGTCGCTGGGCCTGAGGCTGCCCCGGACTCCTTTCAGCGTGCCGGCGCAGAGCCCACGCGAAGCGAGCAGACCTCGTGGGATGCGACGGTTTCGAGGCAGCAGTTGCAGGAGATGGCCGTGGCTGGCTCTCGGCCCTCACCGCAGGCCAGGCTCGCCGAGCGGGTGGCTGAGCTGGAGGCCGCGCTGAGTTCTCTTCAGCGAGGTGGCGTGGAGCCCGCCAGAAGCCAGCAGTCTGACGTGGAGGCGGAGGGCTCGCGGCAGCAGCTGCAGGAGATGGGGTCGTCGGGCGGCCTCCCGCCTTCGCCGCGCGGCAGCGTCTCTGAGCGGGCCGTTGGGTCTGAGGCTGCGGTGGGCTCCGTTCAGCCAGCCGGGGCGGTGCCGGAGGGCTCGAGGCAGCAGGTGCAGGAGACGGATGACGTGGCCGGCTCTCGGCCCTCAACGCAGGCCAAGCTCTCAGAGCGGGTCGCTGAGCTGGAGGCTGCGCTGAGCTCTCTTCAGCGAGGCGTTGTGGAGAGGAGACCTGGAAATTGGCAGTCCTCGCAGGAAGCAGAGGGCTCGAGGCAGCAGCTGCAGGACATTTGGGCTGTGGATGTGAAAAGACTGTCCTCTACATTGATGCTTTCTGAAGCAATCCGTGGCCGGCCATGGGATGCTAGGTATCATTGTGGTATGGAGTGGGATGCAATGCAGAATGGTACAGTGTGCTGCCAGGCAGTGCCGTGGCTGGGAGCGCTAAAAGCCTTCATTATTTGCTTCGAGCGATCCCCACGGAAGCCTTTGGCCCCTCTCCTCCCCCTCCTGCCCCATGCCTCCTTCTCATCCTCATTATTTCCCCTTTCCATAGACTGAGGGACGCAGGCGAGGAGGCCGCCCGCAGCGGGGCGGCGGCAAGGACTCGGGGATTCTCGGGACAACTGGGGGTCTGGCCTGGTTTTGGTTTGTTCTGTGATGTTATCTTGTGCTCTGGTTTGGTTTGTTCTCTGATGGTGTGGGGTTCTCTGTTATGTGACGTTATGCTATGGTTTGTTATGTGACGTTATGGTGTGTTCTGTTCTTTCATGATATACATTGTGTTGCCATTGTATGGTTTGCTATGGTCTGTCATGTCGTAGCATGTCTACTATATTGTGCATGATATGATAGTGCATGGTCTGTGATGTTATGTCATGGTCTGGTTTGTAATGATACTGCTCATGGTATGTTATGATTGCGTGAAGTTATGTTATATGGTGTTGCGACGTGTTGTGCTCTGTCGTGTTCGTCGCTATGCTATATTGGCGTGTTATGGCATGTTCTTAACGCTGTGTCGTGATATGATATATTCCGTCAAGGTGTGTTATGGTATGTTCAGTCCTGTCATGTTACGGTGTGGTATGCCATGTTTTGTTCTGCAATGTTCTGCCATGGTATGATTTGTGATGTTATAGTATGCTGTAGTGTGTCATGCTTTGCTATGTTATGTTATGTTGTGTTTGTTATGTGATGATATGTAGTGTTATGCTGTCTCATGCTATGCACTGCTCTGCCAGGTTCTGTCATGAGATGCTATGTTCTCTCGTGTTATGTCTGCTATGGTGTTATACTCTGTCATGATATGTTAGGGCATGCTCTGTGATGGTATGTAATAGTATGGTTTGTAATGATACTCTCGTATGATGTTCCGTCATAGTATGTCATGATCGTGTTTTGTTAGGTTATCTGGTATTGTGACATGTTGTGTCCTGTCGTGCCCGTCGCTATGCTATGTTGGCGTTTTAAGACATGTTCTGAACGCTGTGTCATGATATGTAATGTTCCGTCAATGAGTGTGATTGTCTGCTCGTTTATGTTATGTTATGGTGTGTTATGTCGTGTTATGTTATGCAATGGTATGCTATGTTGTGCTTCGTGTAGTAAGTTTGCGCTGTGTTTGTCATGGTTTTGCTATGTTATGTCATGTCATGTTATGTTGTGTATTGCTGTGTTGTTCGTGTTTGTCGAAGGCGCGAGGAGGGAGTCCCAGGGACTATCGGGGACTCTCGGGACAACTTGGGGTCTGGCGGCTGCGGTATGCAGTCGTGTTTGTCGAGGGCGCGAGGCGGAAGTCCCAGGGACTATCGGGGACTCTCGGGACAACTTGGGGTCTGGCGGCTGCGGTATGCAGTCGTGTTTGTCGAGGGCGCGAGGCGGGAGTCCCAGGGACTATCGGGGACTCTCGGGACAACTTGGGGTCTGGCGGCTGCGGTATGCAGTCGTGTTTGTCGAGGGCGCGAGGCGGGAGTCCCAGGGACTATCGGGGACTCTCGGGACAACTTGGGGTCTGGCGGCTGCGGTATGCAGTCGTGTTTGTCGAGGGCGCGAGGCGGGAGTCCCAGGGATTCTCGGGGACTCGGGACAACTTGGGGTCTGGCGGCCACGGTATGCGTGGGGTTGGCCAGGGGGGTCTGTTCTTGAAATCTAACAACCCCAACCTGTCGGGTGGGGAAGGAGCAGTGCCACCCAGCGTGCGCATTGCGCGGAGCGCAGTCGCAAAACAAGCAGATAGACGCAGTGCCGTTGGCAGGTGGGGGGGAGGGAACGGCACCCGCCTTGGAGGTTGTACTCTTGCAGGTCTGATCCGCGGGGGCTGGGAGCAGGTCGTATTCATGCCATCCTGGTCCCGCGGCGCCCTCATGGCTGAAGCTCAGTCAATGGCTGCCCTTGCTTGAACAGAGGTGTCCTCTTAGGTGTTCTCTTCTCAGCGGCCGGATTCCAAAGGATGCTCGGCTCCGGTCTTTTCGCCGCTCGTTCGCCTTCCGGGCTCACATCATGCCTGGAGTCTCCAGGCTTGCCAGGCAGGCCGATCCAGGGGCAGCGCAAAAAGTACAGCAGTGTCTTCGCACTCGATGCCATCGGTTCACGCGCAGCCCGCTGGGGAGGCCGCATGTGCCCCGCGGCAACGAGGGCTCTTCGGCTCCAGCGTAAGCTCTCAGATAAGACACGTGCCGGGATACTGGGGCGGGGGGCCCCCTGCCAGCTTCCCCACGTCGCCATGGGCGCTCTGGGCCTCCGAAGGCCCTCCTCCTCCCTCCTCCTCCTCCTCCTCCTCCTCCTCCTCCTCCTCCTCCTCCTCCTCCTCCTCCTCCTCCTCCTCCTCCTCCTCCTCCCTCCTCCTCCCTCCTCCTCCTCCTCCTCCTCCTCCCTCCTCCTCCCTCCTCCTCCTCCTCCTCCTCCCTCCTCCTCCTCCTCCTCCTCCTCCCTCCTCCTCCCTCCTCCTCCTCCTCCTCCTCCTCCCCTGCTCCTCCTCCTCCCCCTCCCTCCTCCTCCTCCTCCTCCTCCTCCTCCTCCTCCCTCCTCCCTCCTCCCTGCTCCTCCGTCCCGGAGGTGCCCAGAGCGGCCCCCCGCTTGCCTGAATAGCGACCCGAGGCGCCCAAAGGCAGCCTCCAGCAGACAGCCCCGAATGCCCCCAAGACTCCCTCCTCCTCCCTCCTCCTCCTCCTCCTCCTCCTCCTCCTCCTCCTCCTCCTCCTCCTCCTTTTCCTCCTCCTTGCCCAAGAGGCCCCAATGGCCAAATTTCGGGAGTGTTGCCTTGGTTTCTGCCGGAGTTTCACGTGGGTGCGTGTCCAGCTCTGGTGTAACTCGAAACGGCCTCAGACGCCCTCGAGTTCGTTCTGAGACGGCCCAGGAAACTTCCAACACGTCCCAAAAACGGATAAGACACGTGCCGGGATACGGGGGCGGGGAGCCCCCTGCCAGCTTCCCCACGTCGCCATGGGCGCTCTGGGCCTCCGAAGGCCCTCCTCCTCCCTCCTCCTCCCTCCTCCTCCTCCCTCCTCCTCCTCCTCCTCCTCCCTCCTCCTCCCTCCTCCTCCTCCTCCTCCTCCTCCTCCTCCTCCTCCTCCTCCTCCTCCTCCTCCTCCTCCTCCTCCTCCTCCTCCTCCTCCTCCTCCTCCTCCTCCTCCTCCTCCTCCTCCTCCTCCTCCTCCTCCTCCTCCTCCTCCTCCTCCTCCTCCTCCTCCTCCTCCTCCTCCTCCTCCTCCTCCTCCTCCTCCTCCTCCTCCTCCTCCTCCTTCTCCCTCCTCCTCCGTCCCGGAGGTGCCCAGAGCGGCCCCCGCTGACCTGAATAGCGACCCAAGGCGCCCAAAGGCAGCCTCCAGCAGACAGCCCCGAATGCCCCCAAGACTCCCCTCCTCCTCCTCCCCTCCTCCTCCTCCTCCTCCTCCTCCTCCTCCTCCTCCTCCTCCTCCTCCTCCTCCTTGCCCAAGAGGCCCCAACGGCCGAAGTTCGGGAGTGTTGCCCTGGTTTCTGCCGGAGTTTCACGCGTGTGCGTGTCCAGCTCTGGTGTAACTCGAAACGGCCTCAGACGCCCTCGAGTTCGTTCTGAGACGGCCCAGGAAACTTCCAACACGGCCCAAAAACAGCCCCAGAGGGCCCCCAGGCTTCCCGCGAAGCCGCCAACCAGCCCCTCAGACCTGCCCAACACTTTCCATAGCGACCCAAGCCGCCCAAGACAGCCTCCAGACAGCCCGGGATGCCTCCAAGACTCCCCAAGAAACCGTTGAAAACTTGCACAAGAGGCACTAAGGGCCGAATATCATGCATCTTGCAAGGTTCTTGTTGTTTTCCCCACCCGACAGGCTGGGGTTGTTAGATTTCAAGAATAGACCCCCCCGCCAACCCCACGCATACCGTGGCCGCCAGACCCCAAGTTGTCCCGAGAGTCCCCGAGAATCCTTGGGACTCCCGCCTCGCGCCCTCGACAAACACCTCAAGCCACCTGGGCCCGAGACTCCATTTGGGAGGTTTCAGAGGACCCAGACCTCGGTGCTTGCACGGAGCGCTTGGGGGGCGCCGCAGCGACAACTGTCTTTCTAGAGTTATTCTTTGCGGCGGCGAAAGCCGAGGATGTCACGCTTATTCTCGAAATGCGGAGGCTGCGGTACGTTTGAATACAATGATGTATGATCTCGAGCTGATCGCAAATGCAGGGTATGTTGCGGACAAGTTCGCCTCTTTGTTCCCAGGAGAGCCCGTTCCAGATCTTCTTCTCCAGGGGGCCCGCCATGGCGGGTGCGTTTCGAGAACAACAACGAGAATGATTTGGTCAAGCGTGCCGCCAGCCCAAAGTCGATCCTGAAGGGTTCCCAGACCACCCAGCCCGCCACAGAGGGCCAGGATCTTGTGGCTACGTTAAAGGCCGCCATCGCGCAGACGTCCGATGAGCAGATGAAGGCGGTCTTGACGGCGGAGCTAGCCAAAGTTGAGGTGTAGCCCCCACAGCAGGTCGTTTCGCCAGCGGATGAGGTTCGGCGAACGGACGCTGCATGGCGGGATGCGGAGGTGAAGCATGATCAGGCGGCCAAGGCAGTCCAGCGACTTCGTGGTCAGCTAGAGCAGGCTGAGGCCAAGGAGCAGCTAGCGGCCAGGTCGCTGGCGCAGGCCGCCATTGCCAAGTCTCAGGCCGCGCAGGCGCCCGCCAAGGCGGAGGGCGTGTTCATCGCTCCCGACAATGTTGACGGCGACGACAAGGGCCCCAGGTCCTTGTTCCACCTGTCCTGGGATCAGGAGCTGTTCACCAACATCGACCAGCTCGAGTGCGAGCAAAGCGAGAAGGA